CAGTATGTGATTGATATCTTCAAATTCATAATTGCACATAGGGCATCTTTCATCCGTTGTCATATGCCTACGAGCTCTTTTCGAGTTGGTCAGTAATCTGTTGTTTCCTATAACCTAAAGAAAAGTTTTAATTCTAGGGATATTATTATGCTTGGCAATGGTGCGCCAGATCTTCTCCTCTATGGAATTGACATTTGCTATCTTCTTATATGCAGATTTGATTGTGAAGACTCTTTTCTCTGAGGGAATCCAACCTGGGGAGTCTGCAATGCTTTCTTCTATTGGGGGAGGTATAGCTTTCAATTTATTGATGATTTGGTCTGGAAGTAGTCGATTAAGCTTGTTCCAATCCCAGGTACCATTCTGGTTGATCATATCCTTTACTTTGGATATGTCATTCTCCACTTTAATTGGATGGTTGCATAAATTGGATAAAGGGCCATTATTATCTAGCCATATGTCATGCCAAAATTGTACTTGATTTCTGTTTCCAATGTTCCAGCAAATATTCTACTTAAACTCTGTCCATAAATTACAAATGTGGTTCCAAAGAGTTGATCTTCCCTTTTTAGTTAGCTTCTAAGGCATGATTCCTTCCACTTTATATTTGTTTCTCATCACCTGCACCCATAAAAGATTATTTCTATTAATAAGTTTATAAGCTAGTTTAAAAAGGAAATCCTTGTTTTGATTCCTTAAATTCTTTAGGCCTTGTCCCCTATCTTTGATCGGTTTACATAGGGTATCCCAATTCACCAGATGAACTCTTTTCTGCTCATTTTTATGCACCTAGATAAAGTTTCTGGTAAGTCTTTCCAATTCATCGTACGTTCCTTTAGGAATTAGAATTGACTGTATAGTGTATGTTGGAATTGAGTTAAGAACTGATTTAGCAAGGGTAATTCTTCCTGCCAAAGATAATGTCTTAGCCTTCCAACCTAATAGTCTGTCTTTAACTCTCTTAATGATGTTGCTATAAGTTCTTTTATTGATTTTGTTGTGTAAGTGGAACTCCCAAGTAATTTCCAAGATTGTAGACCTCTTTGATTCCAATCATATTCGTAATAGTGTCTCTGGTTTGAACATTAATATTAATGGAATAAAATATATTGGATTTCTGCATATTGACTTTCTAACCCGAACTGATGCAGAATTTTTGGAGTGTGTTCTGAATAATCTCAATTTGAGAAATGTCTATTTCTGCAAAGAGAATAAGGTCATCTGCAAAAAAGAGATGAGAGATGTTAGAACCCTTTCTAGATATTTAAATTGGTTTCCACTTAACTTGTTCCACGGCTAATGCAATTTCTTGCGCTAGTCTTTCCATGCATATGACAAACAGGTAAGGAGAAAAGAGATCACCCTGTCTAATTCCCCTTGACTGTTTAAAAGGCTCCGTAAGCTCTTCATTCCAGTTAATTTGGATAGTCGTGGATGTAATGCAATTCATTATAACCATTATGATTATATTAGGCAGTCCCAGCTTCTCAATATTATCTCTAATAAAGTTCCAGTCTAATATGTCATATGCTTTTTCCAGATCAATCTTGATGGCCAGGTACCACTTCTTACATTTCTTTTTCTTCATAGAGTGAATAACCTCTTGAGCTAGGATTATGTTGTCAGTAATAATCCTGCCTGGTATAAAACTTGTTTGACTAAGTAGGAATAATAGGTTTTAAGTTGTTAACGATAACTTTTGTTATAATTTTATAGGTAACATGACAAAGACTTATAGGTCTAAATTGAGTAATTCTATCAGGGTTATCTACCTTAAGATTAAAACCAAACACGTTCTGTTTAAAGCTTCTTCAATCTGGCCACCATTAAGACAATGTTTGACGAGATAACAAACATTCTCTCCAACTGTATCCTAATTTTTATGGAAGAAGTTTGCATGAAACCCATCAACTCCAGGAGCTTTTAGAGGGTTCATATTGAAAAGAGCATCTTTAATTTCAATGTTCTCAAAAGGTTTATCCATCCAGTTCCATTGTTCACGATTCAAACTAGGAAAAGATCTATAATTCTCAAGAGATTGCTTCACTAAAGGATCTTTAGTGAATAACTCCTCATAGAACTTCTTAACATGGCCTTTAAGTATTTCTTGATCGTCGCACCAAGTATCAGATTCTGTTTTGAGAGCTGTTATAAGTTTTTTCCTGCCCTTAGTAATCGCACAGGAATGAAATTACTTGGTATTTTTGTCTCCATGGTTAATCCATTTGCATCTCGCCCTTTGAGCCCAAAGAAGTTATTCTTGTTTTAAAATTGTGTCAAGTTCAATCTTGAGATCAACTTCAAGAGTTGTTAATCTGTTAGAATTATGACGACGAAGTGCTTTATCGATTCCTTTAAGCCTAGCCAATAATCTTTTCTTCTTCTGATTGATATTATCGAAAACTTCACTTTTCCAAACCTTGATGCTTTCTTTGATATGTTTGAGGCTATCCATAAGGTTCTCATGTTTTACCCACTATTCTTTAATAAAATGATCAAAATCTGGGTGGTCCAACCAGGCTACCAGGAATCTGAACTGTTTCTTTTTAGAATCTTTGGGGCTGTTCATAGTATGCAAAAGAATAGGACAATGATCAAAACCTATTCGGTCAAGGTGATGGACTCTAGTATATGGGTATAATTCTAACCACTTCAAATTCATAATGCATCTATCAAGTCTTTGTCATAGGTTGCCACGTCTCCACGTAAAAACATCACCTTGGAAATTAACATCAATCAAATTGTTGTTGAAAATGAAATCTTGAAAAAGTTTACTTCCTCCTCTATAACTGCTGCTACCACCAGTTCTCTCATCAGGACTCAGGATACAATTAAAGTCTCCTCATAGAATCCAAGGTTCATTATTGTAAGGTTTGGGCTTGTCTAGGAGATCCCAAAGCTTATAACGAATGTTGGGGTTGGGACTAGCATAAATTACTGTAAAAATAGTTCCAGCAATTACTATTATTTTCCTTAATATGAGCATGGGCAAACTGATTAAAAATAACTAATATTTTAACCTTAACTGAATTATCCCAAAGAATCTAGATGCCTCCACTGTGACCCTGAGATTCGATTCTAAAGGAATTAATGTAACCCATATTATTGATAATTCTGTCAGCTCTCTTGCCACTTGTGCGAGTTTCCATCAAGGCAATAATCTTGGGCTTGTAATTAATCACATAGTCTTTAAAGTACCTTCTAAAAGAGGGTTTAACTACCCCTTATGTGTTCCAAAATAGAATCTTCATATTTATTGAGGTAACGGGTAGGTGCTTTGTGACAACTCCTTTTCCTTTTGTTCACCTTTTTGAGTCTGGTTCAGATCAATTTGCTCCAGCGTTTGACTTTGGTTGGTTGTATGAGTCCTGCTATCAGGAGGAACCAAATTCTCTGAATTCATGGTATTTTCTTAGACCCATTCTGAAATTAACTGAACGTTAATACTGGTAGAAGGTTTAGATTTTATAATTTTTAGGCCTTTTTTGGTAAGGTGGGAAGCTTGTTTTGCCTTTTTGTTGAGGTTCCATCTAGAGCAACGATTTGTATGTTGTCTTTATCATGAATGGTAATTGATGTATGAACTCCATCTCCCATATTAACCCTTTGTTCACTAACTCGGGCTTCTTTATTTGCCATGACTTGGATCCCTCCTAGTTTTACCTCCTTAGTATTGTCTTTGTTCGCTATCATTTCACTGTCGGTAATAGGGACATCAATTAATCTATTATCAGTTTCAAGGCTATTGTGAGCAATTGTTTTTGTTTCTCGTTCTTTCTCTGACTCTCATATTGTTTTTCATCTGCTTTGTTGATGTGTTTGTTTTTGTAGCAGGTGTTTGTATATTATTTTTCTTGCTTCGATATTGGTAGTCTTTATTGTTACATCTGGATTCTTCCTCTAGATGTTCTTAATGTAAAGGGGCAAATCTTGATCCTTGTCTTGATGTTCCTTCAATCTCTTTGTTTCTGTTTTGGGTTCTTTGGTTTCTACTGTTTCTTCCTCTTGGTTGAACTACCATCCAAGGACCAAAGGGATTTTTTTTCCAACATTAGCTTGTTCTTCCATAGTATTGCTATTGCTGGTAGCATCCATCGGTTTATCTTCTTGGTAGGTTTGACAGACTTCTTTTGCATGTCCATAGGTACCACAATTGAAGCAGATTTATTGCAGACCTTCATATTCTATCTTTTGGATGAAATAATCAATTCCCACACATGGAATTAGAGGTTTGTTCAGATCGATAACAATTGCAATTCTTGCAAATTTTCCCTTCTCTCCAACTTTAGTATTGTAATCAATTTTGATGACTCATCTAATCGTATTCGCAATTGTCCTGATTAACATTGAATTGTAATACATGTAAGGTAATCTAGGTAGACGCAGCCAGGCAATGACTTGTGAATGGTGTTTTTAAGATGTGGTAAAGTTCCTCGACCATGGTTAAACTGTCAGGTAACTACCATATATCATCCAGGGGCCATCTCTGAGAGCTCTAGTATAGTCCTCAATATTTTCAAACTTCACTAAGTAGTAATCATTATCAAGATCAATTAAATTGAAATTTCCTATCGGTATCCATAGCACCTGGATCCTGTTTATCAGCACTTTATATCCAATCTTCTTTCCAGTAGTCTCGTGATAATAACTTGCTTCATGTTTCGATCAATCAGGTCGTGGATTCGCTTTGAGAAACTTATTCTAGGAAAATCTCAAGTACTGTCCATGATTACATCTCCCTCTTGGAAAACTATTTCTTCTTCAAGCATCTTGACTGGTGGATTTTTATTTAGAATCGATCCTCTAGCGGCCATGGCAGCATAAGAGAGTTTCTCAGGACTCTTGGGATGATCTTTTCTCGCAGCACTTTCTACTTGGGCTTCATTATCAGTATGCATATTCTCTGTTTGCTGAGTTGTTTCATCATCTTCAATTGTTAAAACTCGATTCTTTACTTTCTTTGTGGCTCTTTGATCTTCTTGGACGCTATTATTGTTCATCTTGCTCTTTCTTCTTCATAAAAATCAATGTTTTGATTTAAAGTAATTTTACTCTTAGCAGTGTAGTTATTAAATGAATGTCACCTTTACGAGTAATGTAATATTTTTATTTAAAATCAATAATAAAAATGTAAAATATATAAATTATATAAATAACAATTAAAAATCTTTATATAATTTTTATTTAAAATATATATTTCATTATCGACAAAATTTTACCTCGAAATTATGAAACATTCTATTGATGGGAACCACATTGATTAATCTTTTTTAATATGGGACTACTTATTTAATCATAAAATTGAATGATGACACCATAATACCATCATGCAAATGCATTCTTAAGAGCTCAACTTGTTGGCAATTTTATATTAAAAATTCTAAATAAATAATTATTTAAAGAAATAGGGCCATTTAGAAATTATTTGGAATAATAACCCTTAAATCGTCCACATTAGACGACCTCGCGGCCTGCAATCCGCGTGTTAAATCTCCGCACCCTCTAATACGCGAGATACATCTGATGTGAACGCACTTTTCAGGTAAGCCAATAAAATAATTGGATAAAATGACATTACACATTACAAAGCGCGAGGTAGCCTTTATGATCCAAAATATCGCGAGATTTATGGAAGAACTTGTGGCCTGCAAAGCGCGAGGTTTTTTCGAATTCCAAGCCTAATTTGAAACGTAGAAATTAAATGAATATAATAATAATAATTATTAAATATAATAAATAAATAAAAAATATAATAATATATAAATATAGTAATTAAAATATATATTTTTATAAAAAATAATTATAATATGTTTTGTAAATTAAATGAATATAATAAATAATAATAATAATAATAATAATTAATATTAATTATTAAATATAAAAAATAATTAAAATATAATAATATATAAATATAGTAATTAAAATAGATATTTTATAAAAAGTAATTATAATATATTTTGTAAATTTTGAAATAATGAAAAATTATATGTGTAAAATATTAAATAAAATAAATAATTAATAATATTATAATTATAATATATTTTGAAATTTAAAAGATAAAAATAGAAATCTCACGTCTTGCAAACCGTGAGGTACTGGAAACGGCTATAAATAGGGCCCTCCACTCCTATTTATCACCACATTCATCCCTTTCATATATTCAAAGATTCAAAGATTTCATATCATAGCGCTGAGTCTATTAAGACATGATCGAAGTCATGTATTCGATTATTGGAGCGAAATGATGAGGTAAACTAATTAATATTATTTTGTAATTTTACTATTTATTTAATTAGTTTATTTGTTTTGATATTTAAATATTTTTTTAATATTTATATTTCATAGGGATATGAACGTGTATTAGAGTGTCATATGAATCGTGTGACACCGCCAGATGCATATATTATTGACTATTTACATTTAACGGGTTTCAGATATATCAATAGTATAACTAGTGACGATGTGAAGTTGTATCATCTACTTATAAATGCGTTGGTGGAAATATAAAGACCAAAGACACACACATTTCATTTACCGTATGGGGAGACAACTATTACCATGCAAGATGTTGCATTTCATCTGGGACTGCCTATTGATGAAGTAGCTATTACTAGTGTTGTCAGCGCTCCTAACAACGTATGTGAGGTATTGCTCGGAATTGATCCGCCTGATGATGCACGCGATAGTGGAAAAATAAAAAGTAAATTTTTGGATGAAAATTTTACGAACCTACCTCAGAATATGGAGCATGAAGTGAATGGAGTAAATATAAATGTTTTTATCTATGAATATTTATTAATTTTTGGATGAAAATTAAGTAGTTATATTATTTTATTAATTTTTTGAAGCGATTTGCTCGTGTGTATATACTATGAGTTATTGGGGGGATTTTAATGCCAGAAAAATCCCGAAATAAGGTGCATATGATGTGGTTGAATCATTTGCAAAATTTGAGTGATTTACGAAATATAAGTTGGGGGTCGACATTTTTGGCATTTTTGTTCCGACATCTTTTAAGAGTCGTATATCCGACAAAAAATGTCATTGGAGGGTGTTTATTGTTGTTGCAGTCGTGAGCCTGGATCCGACTGTCATTTTATGCATGGTCCTTAAAACAAATGTCCCATATGAATTTATGTTATTTAAGAGGTAAAAAATAATTTTATCTATTTTTTTATAATATTACTAACAAATAATACAATTTTATTGTATTAATGATAGGTGGACTGATGAAATCTCTTACGCCTACTTACCAACACATCAACGAGACTTCAGACTCTGGATCATTAAGTTTGACATCAGGTAATAAAAATATTTTCCTTCGACTTTTATCTTATAATTTTAGAATAATTTAATTTATTTGAGGTTTTTAGCTAACAAAGTTATGTAATTTTAATTTTCTAGTTCATGTGGACGTCTTACTATGATGTTGTTATTGTCAACTGTATATCACATGAGATTCTGTTGGCTAATGCGCCCGTGTACATCGTGTCAGTCCTGCTGATCTTGTATGAGATAGTCGAGTGACATCCTACCGAGCGCGTCCTTCGACAATTTAACTGTGTCCAATCGATTCTGCCACATCCACCTTGCTTGGAAGAGTTTCATCGATTGACGTGACAAGGGAAGACGAAAATTAATTAGGTAGACCATAATGCGATGTATATGAATGAGTGGGTTCGAAGATTCGATAGGACGCCCATGACTCAACCCATCTTCGACCACAGCGTGACATACGATTATATGCGGTGGTACCAAGAATATGTGATGCCACATATATTGACCGATGAGGAGCGAACGCGATATTTATATGTTCCTCCATAGAGTCTCCCACGGATGGGGAGGTAACGTGGGGGAGTCAAGGCAAAGAAGAAGAAGACAACAAGGTGCATTATCCTCATCGGCAACAATAAAGAGGCCTCCTCAGACACCGCTGACACACCCTGACCATGTCTTCATCCACTCGACTTAATCAATATTTTAGCAAATGGGACAGTTCTCGGAAGGTTTCCTCACCGATGTCTTTGACCAGTTGAATTCACAACGACACAATTGGCAGTTAACTCTGGATCCGGTATTGTTGAGCAGACGTTGCCGTAAAGCATATTCTACACAGGTCTCGGTTCTAGTGCCAGTGGTGGATCGACTCCATATATAGTTACCGGTCCTGATGATGATGATATTGCTGAAGAGGAAGAGGAACTGCAATTACGTCCACGTCGGACTCGTCGTCCACCACGATATGGAACTGGCGGACATTGGCATTATTAGATTTATTTCGTTCTTCAAAACCGAAATATTTGTAATAAACTATTTTATTTTGAGTTAATCAAAATATTTTCAATGAAAATCGCACACTGCATCCCGCGATATCTATAGACACATCTTGCAAAATGTTAGATACCAAGATCTCGTGTTGTACAAGGTGTCTACCAATTCTATCGACTCTTTTGGACTTTTCCGCAATGCATTAATGCATTCTGACACTACAAGCCGATTATTCAAATTGATGGAACTTGGTTATATGGTCAATACACTCAAATAAAGTTATTTACGGTTGCACAAGACGCTAACAGAAAAATTATTCCCATTGCCTTCACAATTGTCGAAAAGGAAGATATCGACTCTTGGGAATTCTTCCTTACGAACTTACAAATATATGTTCTATCACATGTGATGCAAGATAGAGATGATGGGATTTATCTTATTTCTGACAGAGGCGTTGGTATCAAATACGCACTCCATCATATAGGCCCGTCTTACTAACCCCCCAATATTTATCACCGGTACTGTTTACGACATATTGTCGCAAACTATTTGCAGAAGTTAAAGAGTCAAGATGAGCTTCTAATGGTGCTTCGAATAGGTATATCTTTCACCTTTTTCGATTTACCATAACGTTACAAAAATTATTTCAAATTAATTGCTCCACTTTCTATTGATAGGTTACACACAGTCCATACGTGAGTATGAGGACCTAATGCAGGAACTGAGACACATGAATTCCGAGGGCTTTAACTACCTTGCTAGAATCCCAAATGAGAAATGACTTTGATCATTTGATGAGGATATACGGTATGGTCACATGCCAACGAACTTGGATGTGTCAATAAATTCATCATTAAAGGGAGTGCGCCATTTGACTATCACGTCTGTTGTCAAAGCGACATATTATCGACTGGCAACCCTTTTCGTAACCTTGGGAAGACAAGCAGTTGACTGGATGACAGGTGGCTACCAAATCCACCCATACCTCATCAGAAAATTGCAAACATTCCATCAACATTCCAATACGATGAGTGGCATATGCTTCTCTAGAGAAATGTCATTATTTCGTGTATCAGAATTTTCTTGGCCATTGGAAGGTATACAACACAACGCATACGTGGTTAATTTACGAGAAAAAACATGCGAGTGTGGATTCTTCCAAACTTTCAAATACCCTTGTGTGCACACCATTGTTGTTATTTCTTCTGTTCGGATACCCTACATGAGATTCGTTCATCGAGTTTACTTACTTGAAACTATATTCAAGGTTTATGAATACAATTTCCCTCTCATTGGAAATGAATGAGATTCAGATGAAGCTGATGATGAACCTACAGTACGATCATATATGCATTATGATAAAAAAATCGATCGTCCACGGTCAATCCATATTTTTTGTGACAAGGATTTGGTCGAACATCAAGAAAGTACCGAACAACCGAAATTATGCTCTATATGTAGGAATCCCGGAAACACGAAGAACAAATGTCCCAATCGCTCAGGCCCACGTATCAATTAAATGGGAGTTTTGCATTATTTTTTTAATTAACAACACATACTACTTAGTTTTCAATTTCTTTTGATTTCTTCATGCACCAAATCATGCATTACAATATTTTCCAACACGATTTTTATCCCCATTAAATATCTCTTATGTGGCCAAATTAGCCTTAACATAAATATAAGTTGCAATAATATACCTCTAAGCATATAAATTCTGAAATCACTCATA